CTGTATTGATTGGGTCCCTAGCCATTGATACTGCCTCTAGTTCTATTTTTTGTGGTGAGTTTTTCCATCTTGTCATTTTATTCAGATAGGAATATATGAATGAGGGAATAAAATATTAAAAGGGTGGCAAAGATCCCCCAAAAATGTATGGTAACCAAATCAGAAGAGACCCAAAACTGAGGGAAGAAGAAAGGGAGAAAAAAGAAATAAAAAAATTAAAAATTAAAAATTAAAAAATAAATATGTATTATACCGGTGAATAGAACAGAGCCACCTACTTTATTTTGGATGTATTCTGGTCTCTTAGAAGAAATTACCTCCCAAAATGTTAAAGAAAGAAAAACTTACATATATACAAAAATAGGGTGGACATAATGAAGAGATGGAATATGACTGTAAGGTGAAAATTTAAAAAAAATTCTAAAAATGGAATTGATAAGATAAGTTGGTTGGATAAAGAGGAGAGAATTTGCTCAGGTTGGAGACTAGAACAAAGCTATGTGCTAGATTTAGGGTATATTTTAATCTATTAGAAGAAATTGTATCCCAAAATTTTAAAGGAAAACCCTATATGTATACAAAAAATAAAGTTAAATACAATGGGGAGATAAAATATGACCATAAAATGAAGATTTAAAAATATTTTTTAAAAAAAGGTATTGTTAAGATAAACTAGTTAAAAAATGTTGAAAGAGGAAAGAGGAAAAATTTTAAAAATAGAATAAGAAAAAAAATAAAATTTAACAAATTTAACTTTGAAAGACTTAAGGATCATGGGAAAAAAGCCATGAATTCTATGTGTTGCTTTCCCCTAGCTCTAGAGTTCCACTGTTCTCATTGAATTTGGTTTTGGCTGGATGTTCTTGCTGATCTTCTGGGGGAGGGACCATTTGCAGTGAGTCTCAAATGTCTTTGCCTGAGGTAGAATTGCACTGCCCTTGCCAGGGGCCAGGATAAGTAATCTACTTGGGTTTGCTCTCAGTATCTTTTGTTTCCTAAGCACTTTCCATAGAGCTTTGGAGGACAGAAATGAAAATGATGGCCTCACAGTCTCCAGATGGAGTGAGCTGAGAGCTCAGGGCCCCACTCCTCAGTGTGGCCTCAGAGAAAAGCAGTCAATTCCTCCCATCTCCCTGGTCTCTGGCCGCACTCTGAGCCCACCTGGCCTGTGACTGTGTTTCTATCTCTGGCGCACAGACACGTTTGGAGTGTCCAAACCCAGCAGATTGCTGCCACTCACCCCCATGCCACTCGTCCCAGAGGAAGATGAAGGGGGTCTTTCCAGATCTGCCACTTGTGGGGTCCCTGCTCAAAGAGCAGTGGCCCAACTGTGACTTGGATCACGGGTTAAGGTAATTCCTTGGCTCCATCTCTGTAGTTGGCTTCCCCACTGTGATACCTGGGAACTCTACCACACTCAGATGCCCCTGGTCTTTCTGTGACCCTGTGGGTTCTGAGACCACACTGTCCCTGTGAGGGCTCCACCCCTGCTTAGCCTCTGGAGTGATTTCCCTCAGGGGAGCTGACTTCTAAAAGTTCTGATTTTGTGCTCTGCTGCTCAATCACTTGCCAGGAGCTGGCTCCTCCCCCTGCATTCCATCTTCCCATCATTTCAGATTCACTTCTCCAAACCCCTACCTCCAGAAAATGGGTGATTTTCTGTTCCTAGAATTGCTGCTTCTATCTCGTGTTGAGTTTGCAGGTGTTTGGAATGGTTTGATAACTATCTAGCTGAACTCCTGGGACCTGATGTCATTTCAGGTCCTCTGCCATCTTGCTTCCTGTTTGGATATTGTGTTATATTACCTGAGTATAATTCTCTCATTCTTTTTCACTCAAGTGTGTAATTTCAGTACATGGATGCATTGTAACTGATGTCACCAGTTTTGCAATAATGGTTTAAGCTGTTTTCAGTCTTTTGCTAGTATATAGGAAGCGGCAACACGTCTTTATAATGCATCCTTGCGCATTTGGGCAAACCTGTTAATAAGAAAACATCTAAAATTAGAATTTTTCTGGTGAAGAATTAATGCATTTTTTATTTGTTAGATTTTGTAAGATTGCCCTAGACAGATTATTCTGATTTGAAGCCCCCTCAATATTGCGGATGTTGCTTACAATCTTGTCAAATCTCTTTCTATTATTCTTTTTTTTTAACCCAAACCAATCTGGCAGAGGAAAAAAATTATATCAAATTGCTTTTTTAGCTTTTTCATTAAAATATTTTTGGTCATCATAGGTTTGTAAGTCATTGTTGATTCATTAATTTTACAATTGTATTGTTTTTTTGATCTTCATTTTATTTATTTGTAATAGCCCTTCTATATTTTAAAGAAAGAAAGCCCCTTTTTCACATATAATAAAAATTTTTCTAGTTTACCACCTTTGTGTTGAATTTAGAGTGGGATTATATTGTTGCAATGTGGAATCAAATATATTTATGAGATTGTTTGCAAATATGTTCTTCATATTTTCTGGATATGTGTAATGACTATTTCAAGTCTTTGTTGTTTTGTTTTCATATCTATTTTGTTCTAGAATGTGTATGCATTTATCATTGTTATTTTTAAATGATTGGGCACCTCAGTGGCTCAGTGGGTTAAGCTGCTGCCTTTGTCTCGGGTCATGATCTTGGGGTCCTGGGATTGAGTCCCGCATCAGGCTCTCTGCTTGGCAGGGAGTCTGCTTCCCCCTCTCTCTCTGTCTGCCTCTCTGCCTACTTGTGATCTCTGTCTGTCAAATAAATGAATAAAATCTTTAAAAAAATAAAATAAAATGATTACTTCTTTGATCCACTTAGAATATGTTTTAGTGTAAGGATTAAGATTCAGCTTTTTTTTCCCCCTCCAGGTGGCTAAGCAGTGTTCCTTACATCACCAATTTTGTAATTCCATTATCTGTACTATTTTGAATAGCCAATTTTGTATATTAAAACCATATACCAGGTAGATGATTATTTGATATTTCTATCCTATTCAATTGTTGATGTGTTGATTTATATTCTGTTAAAAATATTTTGACTATTGTTAGTTAAAAATACTTCTAAATAGTTGGCATTTACAATCCTACTCATAAATTTCTTCTCTTTTTTGTGAAGACTCCAAATGTTATTTGCATTCTTATTTTCTTAAATTTAGGATAAGCTTATAGGATTGTAATAATATTGTTACTATTTTATTGGGATTAATTTTGGGGAAAATATTTTACAGCTATAAAGCTTCTCTAAGACCAAACTATTTTTTTATCCAACACTTCTCTTGGGTTTGTTTGTACACTTTTTAATTTTCTGCATATGCATTCTCTATACTTCTTATACAGTTAACCTAAATACTTTGTTTTATGATAGATTTTTAAATCCATCTTCTATTATAGTCTATTGAGACATAAAACCTACAGATTCCTGTATAATTTTTTAACCTAGCTATCTTTTTTATTCTTAATTTCTTATAATTTTTAGTTTTTATTGATTTTATGATTATTTGATTATATTAACTGCACGTAATGATACTCTTCTAATTTTATACCTCACTTATTTCTGTTATCTAATTATATTATATAGTATTTCCAGGATAATAAAATAATAACATTATTAGTTTTATTTGTGATATAAAGGCAAAGCTTACAATGTTTCTCCATTTATATAATTGAACAGTGAAATCTCCAGCATTATTTTTTTTTAAGATTTTATTTGACAGAGAAATAGAGAGAGAGCACAAGTAGGCAGAGTAGCAGGCAGAGGTTGAGGAAGAAGGAGGCTCACTGCTAAATAGGGAACCCGAGGTGGGGCTGGATCCTGGGTCCCTGAGATCATGACCTGAGCCTAAGACAGCTGCTTAACGGACTGAGCCATCCAGGTGCCCCATCATTTGTTATTTTAAGAGTGTTTTCATCTTAAATGTTGATGTAACTAATGTAACTAATGTTGATTATGAAATGTATTTATATTAACTATGGAACTGATGATTTGTGCTTTTTTTTCTCATTAGACTTCATAGCATGGAAAATTATTTATGTATTTCTGCAAATGAAACATCTTTTCACCAATATTTTGATTATTTTAAAATTTAGTAACCTTTAAGTTTGACATAGACATCTAAATATATAGACTCTGACACATACAATCTAGTATTTTTCTTTTCCCTTTCATTTGCCCTACTCCTTTTATGAGTTGTTGGTATATAGTCAGCTAATAACCAGTATTTATCTTCAAGTCCATTTTTTATTTACATTATACCTTAACATTGCATAATCCAGAAAAGATAATTAGTTAGAAGAAAAACATAACCATTCTGGAAAATTTTAGAGTGAAAAAAGATTGACATATACAGTGGCCATTGCTTTCTCTGTGTTTCATGTTATTACTTTTGAAAACTTCTGGCTAAACAATAATCATTTTTTCCCTTTCAAAGTCCATAAAGAAAAACATATTTCAATAACACCTGTCTGTATATACCTTAGCTATCAAGATGTTTAATAACATTTATATTTTATGAAACGGAATACACATGTCTAGGTGTCAGAAAGAGTTAAGGTCTTTGGCTTATAAATGTAAACAGAAGGACCTATTCTCCTGTGAAATAAAACATTTGCTTTAATTTATGGCTGCAAAATCACAGATAACATGTACGTGAATTTAGGTCTCTAAAAGTGACTTACATACAAATGCTTGTTTAGTGGTTTTTTTTTGTTTTGTTTTGTTTTGTTTTGTTTTTTTAAGTATCATAATGAAGCTTTCAATTAGTCCACAAGTTATTTTAATTAATAGGGCTAGACAATAACTTGAAACCAAGGAAAATATCATGGCTTTAACTTTAAGATCATTTTAACTGGAGTGTGAGACCTATTCAAATAGTCATGAAAATAAACTGTCAGACTATCAGCAAATAGATTTCTTGGTAATAGCACATAGTTCTGCCTCTGACTGAAGATGGTAATGACTGTTCATTATGACAGTGACTTAATTACAACAATCAAATGGATGATGTTTCTGTTTCCTTAAGGGAGATGCATCAACAAAGCATGGATATGTGATGGAGATATCGATTGTGAAGATCAGTCAGATGAAGATGGTTGTGACAGTTTTTTATGTGGACCACCCAAGTACCCTTGTGCTAATGACACTTCAGCCTGCCTTCAGCCAGAGAAACTCTGCAATGGGAGAAGGGACTGTCCAGATGGGTCTGATGAAGGCGATCTCTGTGGTATTGCACGTTTCACTGATTTGTTTCTTTCTGGAGACTAGAAACATTTAGTCCACTTGCTGATACTTATAGTAGCATACGCTCCTTCCATTTATTTCCTTTAAATGTAATGTTTAGCATCAAATCCTATCTCCATTTTTCAGGGACTGTAAGTCTGTTGAAAGTTTCTAAAATATGATCAGAAATTTCTGAAAATGAAGCAGAAAAGATGGACTATAGCCAACTAACTTAATTGTATAATTGTGCTCATCACTTAGAGCTCTGGATGGTTAATGTTGTTTCCAAAATGAAATCATTATTTTTTTGTCAATGAGTCATTCTCAACAAGAGAACCTGTTTATTATGGACCTATGGGATAGAGTTTACTAACATCCAGTGGATTTTATCATACATTCCAATCATTACACTAGAAATATTTTTTTAAAAAGAGGAAAGGAAAGGAAGAAATTGAACAATAAAACCAACTGAATATTATTCAAGTTTATATAATTTTCTCTGAAGTTTTTAGTCCTCTTACAATAGCTTTCTTGGGCATGCTATATCTAGTTAAAGTGAGTATTTCAATCTGATAGCTTTTGAGTTTTGAAATCACTTTTGACTAGTCATCTTTTTTATGCCAACCAGAACATATAAAGAAAATTACATTTCCTTCTCTGTGGGGAGATCAGACATTTAGCAAGGATATTTTCAAAATATGTTTTCTAGATAATACTGAAGGTGATATCGATAGAGTAATGAGGAAGGGTTTAACAGAATGATAAGAACAATAATGAGGTGACTAGGGACTGAGAAAATGACTTTAGGAAATGATGAAGCTACCTAATTGAAAATAAAAAAGACAACTACATTTAAGCCTAAAGTTATCATATTTTGATCTGAATTGAGTACTAATAGAATACTGAATGATAAAAAATCTGGTATTATGTTTTAAATTTATGCAATAAGTGTCCTTTCTTCCAAAGATTCTGTGATTCTATAAAATACCCTTGAAACAGTAACTGCAACAACCTTCATGCAGTCATGCTAAAATTTATTTATTTGTTTATTTATTTATAAAGACATTTATTTTTAGAGAGAGAGAGAGAGAGAACAGGGGGAGGGGCAGAGGCGAGGCAAAGAGAGAATCTGAAACAGACTCCCCTATCAGCATAGAGCTCAGAGCTCCACACAGGGCTGGATCTCAGGACCCTGAGATCGTGACCTGAGCCAAAAATAAAAAGTCAGAATGCCAAAACGACTGAGCCACCCAGGTACCCCTGGGATGCTAAAATTTAAACAAAAAGATTCAACCCCCATCACCTCCCCCCCAAAATCCTAAAATTAAGCAACAAATACAAGGTAACAGACTTAGCTTATCTGTATTTACTTCTTTTTCTCCCAGCTTTTTCCCCTTATGGAGTAGATTGGTGGGTGGAAATATCTCTTGCATTACCATATGTGAGGATTGCTCGTGAAGGTTGAAAGAGCAATTCTGAAAGAAGGAAACTATCTTTACTCTTAAAATTGAAAATGTGTAAATATAGGAAAAAATCGAGATTTTGACAGATTTAAATTCTGTTCTTCAGTTACTTCAATTAAATCATCTAGGCAGGTAACTTAATTTCTTGAAATGTCAGATTCTTCATAACAAAAAAGGAGATGATGATATTGAGCAGGAAATCATGGTAATAATGTCAGATGCACTATAGGTGTTGAAAGAAATTATCTTTTCTCAACCTTCAGGTTAAATGAAGGCAAAGAAGACAAAATACAATCATCAAGAAAAATGAAAATAATGTTAAAACACAGCCTTATTTTCCTGTCCTCTGCTCTCTGAATTAGTAAAATAAAAGAGCAAAAGGGATTTCTTCTGCATTTATTTCTTTATTTGCTTCAAGACTGAAAATTGCTTCTTACTGTCAAGCCACTATATTCATCAGCTTAGGAAACTTGCTCGAACATTTCAAAGAATTACAGGTGTGAAAGAGGTTACAATAAAACTAGGTGTGGTCATTCCAGAAAGGATAAAAGTCAGTTCTATCCTGCTTATAGCATTATGGCATATTGAAATCCTATACTGTCCCCTTTGCGAGGTGAAGTTGAAGGAAAGTTAGGGAAATGAAAATCAAAACCAAATACTAGTCAAAGGATTGAATTACTTTCTAGGGTTCTCCTTTTCCTACCTTTTGTGTGTACCTTTGTACTGTAGTTCTGTAGATGGAATCCTTATAGGCAATATTGGTACCTGTAGAGAAATGGCACCTTGGTCTCTTATTTTCATGATCCTTGCCCAGCAGTCGTAGGTAAGATCTTGTCCAGCTAAGGATATTGGTTTATGAGTGCTGCAGCAGCAACCATAATGAGTTATTTACCCACTGGATATAAAAGATATACCAAGTGAATTAACTAAATAATTGGCATGCATTTGGCTAGTAGCTAGGAAATTCTTTTTAGAGAGAGAGAGACCCAAAGGCAAAAGAGGTTTTTTGTTTATTTGTTTTGTTTTGTTTTGTTTTAACTGTATGTTGTATATGATGAAAATGTAGGTTTTGCCCTCTTCTGTTTACTCCTTTGAAATAATTTTCAAAAAAGCTGTTTATTTATTTATTTTTTTTAGTGTTCCCTCTTTTACCATCCTCTGTTAAAAAGGTAACAGGGATTGATTGATATCCTATTCCTCAATACATGTAAATTTGTACAAAAATATATTGTATGAAAATAATTTGTAATCTGTAGACTTAATACTTGGGAGATATCCTAGGATGGAAAAATCATACTCTTTGGCTAGTGAAGAGATTCTTGTTTTCTCCAGATAAATCTGATCTGTAAAACAAAATCAAAACCAAAACAAAAATCAGTAAAGGAACACAATGAAATAATTTTCTTAATCCTAGTGAAAAGATATTTTTCTCAGGGGGATTTCCAAATGATTTCAAGGGGAAATGTATATACTTTAAGAAATAGATATTGTGGGACACCTGGGTGGCTCAGTTGGTTGGACAGCTGCCTTCAGCTCAGGTCATGATCCCGGAGTCCCAGGATCGAGTCCCGCATCGGGCTCCCAGCTCCACGGGGAGTCTGCTTCTCTCTCTGACCTTCTCCTCGCTCATGCTCTCTCTGTCTCTCTCAAATAAATAAAAATAAAATCTTTAAAAAAAAAAAAGAAATAGATATTGTTTAAGAAACAAATGAGAAAAATCTTGTATTATTCAAGACTAGAATTAACTGTTAAACCTTGCTATGAGGGTATGTCAAAGATAAACAAAGCTGGACTCTAGGTAAAATGGGGAGGATTGATTTTATTCAGTATTTATTATTGCAGCAGAGAAGAATATTTCTTGTGAACTGAAATCAAATTCTCTGAAACAAAAGACTAGAAGCATTTTGAAGCCTGGAGTATGGTAAGGGAAAGGCACCAAGAAGTGATAAGGGGGTTGACCCATGTGACTAGGCCATTGGTGCTTATCCCAGAGAAGAAACAAATATCTTTGACCAGAGACAGTGGTACAACTCAAAACCAAGCACTCACAGGGTTGGGAGCAAGAGTGAAAGAGTTATCTTCTTGAATGTTTGCATTGTAAAGAGATATTTCTCAAGTCCTTGAAAAGTCAGTTCTGAGAGGTAGAAGATTACATATTCAATGTGCAGAGAAAATAGTTATTATTGCAAGTTATTTAAAGTAATTGTTCTAAGACGAGGTTTCAGGGCCTGCCTGCCTATTACCAGGTTTTGGCTGGAGCAAACAGTAAATTCTCCTACCAGTATAGAGCTTTCTCAGGCAGGTACTTTAACAGAGCTGGAGTCATACTAGGAAGGCTGTCCTAAGCGGTTAGAAACTAGGCTAATGTTTGGTGAAATCTCTTTTTGGGTGGTGACAGGCATATGATTGGGGAAGGGAGTGAAGATTGAAATTATTTATACTTAAGGGTCTGCAATTTTTATAAGCCAGTTTGAGGACTAGTTGACCAGAAGTCTCCAAGGAACCTGACTAGAGCTGATCAATGAGAAATTCTTTTCAGGTAATAAAAATTTAGAAGAGAGTTGCAGGATTAGGGTATCTGGTTGGCTCAGTCAGTTAAGCATCTGCCTTTGGCTCAGATCATGATCCCAGGGTTGGATCAAGTCCCGCTTCGGGCTCCGCGCTCTACATGAACCTGCTTCTTCCTTTTCCTCTGCCTGCCATTCCCCCTGCCTGTGCTCTTTCTCTCTCTCTCTCAAATAAATAAAATTTAAAAAAAGAAAAGAAAGAAAGTTTCAGGATATAATGACATGTTTAGGGTTAAGGAGGAATTAACAAGGGACTAGCCACACAAATACTGGCATTAAATTTATATGTTCAATTTTAGATATCAATGTAAATTTAGTTTTTTAAAAAATCTATGACTTCATTCCACTGATAGTATCAGAAGAACAGTGACATTTGAAATATGCTAAGAGAACTATAACAATGTTTTTTCACCTGGGTATGATGATACTTCTTTACAGTAATTCTCTTGAAAAAGAATGACATTTTAAATAAATGGGGAAAATACCTTAAAATGACTATTGTTTTGAAATGACTATGATATGGGTGAATAAACATTTTTGGGAGAGCCAAATGAATCTACTTTTTTCTTCTAAAATAATGCCAAACTTGAAGTCTTAGAGAAAATAGTTAATATAATCATTTTCCTTTTCTTATTATTGTAACTTCTTTTCTGGTGACAAATAGTATGAAGAAAAGTTGACCTATATAGAACTTAAAAAAATGTAGAAGTATTTTTAAAGTGTTATACTTAAGCTCAATTTCTGAACTAGATAAATTTTCATAGACAGCAGGAAATATTTGAGGTACATAAGTATTACTGCAATTTGTCAATCATTGAACAACATTCTGTTTTAGCATATCTCAAAAAACACCTAATTAGGTTTTGAAAACAACTTAAAAATATTTTTAAAGTGAAGGAAGGCAAAGCTTCTTTTAGCCTTATTCCTATGTAACTAGTAATAGATAGGAATAGGTAGTAGTGTGCTTGAAAAATCCAGTTATCTACTATTTTCATCAATGGCATAAGTAGGTCATCTTGAAATTTTCCCAAATGGACCAGTAGTGGCTCAATTTGGGGGTAACTGTGCATTTGGACATTTTTTTATTCAAAAAATATTGTTATCTGTTTATTATATGGAAGGCAGTGTGCTAGCTATTGGATATACACTGCTAAACAGAGCAAATAGTTTGTATACCCTCATGGACCTTACAATTTATAATGAAACAGAATCAGAAATAAATATTTGTAATGCAATTCTAAATTATAAGACTATGGTAGAAAAGGTTTCTTTCTTTATAAACCAATCATACTATCCATGTAATAAATACTGGTTGCTCATTATTTTAGTACAAATACCAAGTCAACCTTTTTTGTGTATATGTATATTATTTATGATGTTTTCATGACCTCATTGAATTAATCACAATAACCAATATATAGGGTGTAATGTACAATTTACATAACTTAAAAATAAATGACTGTAGCCAGTAAAGAGCAAACTAATCCATCCTGCATTATCATTATGAATCAGACACTAGATGTAGAAATATATATATATGTATATAAATATGATACATGTATATGTATATGCCTGTTTATATACCCTGAACCAAGCCAAATTTTCAGATCATCAATGTATGTTCTTGGGGAGCCCTTAGCAACTGATTTTGCTCAACAGCTGAAAGGATCAGCATAATTTTTCCAGTTATAATAGAAAGAAACATTGAACACACTTTACCTCTATGGGGTCAAACAAAGTATACTCCAAAATTTTACAGAAATGAAAACCTTCCATTCCCAGTTCCTATCATGTAGAATTATATTTGGTCATTCGATGAATTATTTTATCATTCCTACCCCAATCCCTGAAAAAAAAAAATCCAGAGAGCTCTCTCTATTCATTTATAATATACTTGCTCTAATTCTAGCCTTAGAGAATTGAGTTCAATGATTAGTACTTAATTGAGCAAAACAATTGATAATGCCCTGTAATCTGTTCCCCTCCTTTTATAGATGAATGTTCACTGAACAATGGAGGCTGTAGCGATCACTGTTCTGTTGTTCCTGGAAGAGGAATTGTCTGCTCCTGTCCTGAAGGACTTCAGCTCAACAAAGACAATAAAACGTGTGAAATTATAGATTATTGTAGCAATCATCTAAAGTGCAGTCAAGTGTGTGAGCAGCACAAGCACACAGTCAAGTGTTCATGCTATGAAGGGTGGAAGCTGGATGTGGATGGGGAAAGTTGCACAAGTGTTGGTAAGTAGATGTGTGTTTTGCTAGACTGAAGAATAACAAGTGCCTTTCTGTTTATTTTTTTTCCCCTGTGTTGTGTATCTCAGTATATTTAAGAATAGATCTTGAGAGAATACTCCAAAAACACCTTTGAAGAATTAATAAAAGGAGTCAACTAAGTTTGAGTGAGGCATTTAAGTATAATTTGTCATTTTTTTATTATTTTTTTAAGATTTTACTTATTCGTTTGAGAGTTTGAGGGGGCAAAGGGGGAAAGACTGTCCACTGGAACTCTATCCTAGGACCCTAGGATCATGACTGGAGCCAAAGGCAGATGATTAACAAACTAAGTCACCCAGGTGCCCTGAATGTGTAATTTTAGACCTACTCCAAAATCTTCTGGACAAAGCATATTACAGTATCATAATCACTGTCCTTCAGATTGGTTCCTTCCTTCTTGAAATGCTACTTTCATCATCATCCTCCCGAAAGGCTTCTTTTCATACTATCAAAAGCATTTACTTTTATTTTTCTCTGAAGCTTTCAGAACCCTCCGAAGTCTGGTCCTAGTCCACACTTCCAGTTGTATGTCTTCTACTCTTGAAATAAACTCTTTGTTCTGGCTGTGTTCATCTTCTAACTGTCCATTTAAAACATTCTGATGATTCTCTAGATCAGATTCCATAGTGGGAAGAATAGAGATTATAGAATCTGACTTTGAACTTTAACCCTGCGTCTAGCATTCATTATAGACATGATATTAGACAGGCTACATAAAACTGCTTGAGCCTCAGTTTTCTTATCTTTCAAATATCAGTGCCCATTTTAACAATGTCTTCCTTATAGCATGTTGCAAAACTAAACAGGAGAAAGTGCTACTGAGCCGCATACCCATATCTTCTCCAGAGACTTAACTGATTCTGTGGGACCCTTGGAGTCCATGGATAGAATTGAAGGGGTCCATGGATGTTTTGGGGGAAAATATTACCTTTATTTTCTTTAATGTCTCACTGAAAGTTAATACTACTTATTAGCAGCAACTGTGTGTCTCCAATTGAAGTAATAGACATTCACATCATGTTAAACTTGTTCTGATATTTCAAAATATCATATATATTCAGGCTTTGGAGACCACTATTACTTCAATAATGGGAGTCATTAGATCTACTGTTCAAGCTGTTATCAAATATCATAATAAAAAAGAATGTATATTACTTCATCCAAAAGTAGTGTTTTTTGTTCAATATTGGTAACAGCATTTTAATATACAGTGTTTTATTCCTTTGCCTATGTATATTTATTTTATTTCCTTTTTTCTTACTGTTTTTACACTTTTTAAGACTTTCTGATAACTGGCACACAGGTTTTATCAGACAGCTAAGAACATATACATCATAAACTATTCTCATTTTGTTTCTTCTGCTTAGATTGTATTTCTCTTCTTTTCCTCAAAATATCCTGTGTATTCTTTCAGACCTATGAGCTCAAATATTTCTTCTTTAAGGGAATAGTCTTTCAAATATTCTTTTTCTCTATTTCTCCTCTCTATTTCTAGAATATATTCTCCATGAAAATATGTGTCCACATTTTTAATTTTACTGTTTTATATTTCCATCTATGTGTTTTCTATATTCCTTATCTTTCTGATGAAATAATTAGCAGCTTGAAGTAAAAAATGTAGTTATAGGTTATTCTCTTATGTTTTATATAATATTCAGCCCAGTTATAGAAAAATAATATAAAATCAAAAGTGTTATATTTTTGTAGAGAATATTGTTATTTTATTCTTTTATTTCAAATGTTGTTTTGTAATTATTTCTCCTGGCTTTTAAAATTTGAGTCCGAGATGCATACATTTAGCAGACATTTATTCGACTCTTTTCCAAGAATCTGGTACAAAGTAATTGGCATGAGAGACTGAAAAAAAAAAACAACAATTTGTCACAGTGATAATAGTCATTTTATTTATGTACATGTTTGGATTAGAGAAACAGTAGATCAAAATATAATCATATTTTACATGAGAATTGGCTCCATAACTGGTTTTTGGATACAGATGACAAAATTATTGACTTATTTTAGTGCTTTTGTGTTCTATGTAATCAGTAACAACTCATGTCCAATGTTAAAATAATTCAACCTTTGAATATGTGACCAGATTCAAAGATAATCTTCCTAATGTAGTTGACTCCTTCCACTCTAAGCTCATAAAGAAACTCTAACAGTACTGCATCAGTTCTCACTGTTAAAATTGCTATATTTCACACCTACTTTGTTTATAATTTAAGAGGGAAGTAAAGGTATATTTTACCTTTTACAGTTAATATGGTGCTTTCTTGCACAGAGACTTTAACCTGCTGGTAATTTATCCCTTCTGAAACACATAGTACACCAAATACCATTGTCAGCATTTATATTATTACAGATAATACAGGTTTTTTAGCTATTGAAGATTATTTTTTATTTAAACCGATTTTTATATATAAAAAGAATTTATTCTGTATTTTATTCACTTCCTTTCTTTTTTTGAAAACCTATAATAGATTCAGAGTTCAATAAAAAATAAATGAATTAACCATTAACTATTGGACTTCGAAAATAAAACTTTTTTTTCATCCTTCTGTTGCTACTTTTTTTCTATCATTTTTAAGTTGGGTCCCCACTTCTAAAATGTGTCCTTTCTACTGAATGCAATACCTGTGCTTATTCTTCTTGGCATTTTAAAAGTAAAGAATAATGGTACTCTTTATGCTTCAAATTAGAATCAGGACCCCCCCACGTTTTTTGCTCTTGAATCCTCTATAGTTTTTTCATATTTTCTTATTTCTCTCAACTCCTTTCTTCCTAAATTCTTTACAATCTGGCTTTTGCTGAATTGCTGAACTGATTCTGTTTTCTCTAAGTTCACTACTAATATCTTGTTAGTTAAATATAGAGATTTCCATAAGTACTATTTTATGATCTTCAGTTTTTATTTAATATAGCTGTACTCATTTTCTTTGATATTTCAATACTTTATCAGTTCTTTACATGTTTCTGCCTTAATATGTAATGCATTAATCACTTTTCTCCTGAAGTGTTAATTTCTTTGTACTATGAACATCCAAAATATTGCTGCTGATTGTATTATCTCTAGTTTCTTTTCTGTTTAGTAGACAACTTACTTGCAAACATGCAGCATATTTCTAGTTACATAGGGAAGAATATTATAGCATTCCTTCTTATTTTCTCTTAGCTCGAATTAGGTTAGATATCCCCACCAATGTTTGTGTGGATATTATTCTCTTCTATTTCCACTTTTAGATTTTAAAAATTATATTTAATACAGGGACCAGTTGAAAGGAGATGGCTCAGGTAAAAGATAATTGGTGACCTCCACTGAGAAAGAAAAGAACAGATTGAAGATATATTTTAGAGATGAGATTGTCAAATATTGAACAAAAATAAGGAAAAAATAATTTTTGTAATATATATTGCCTTGAATATAGTTAATTTTTTTGGTATGCTGTTTTCTTTCCTCCACCAAATTACAAGCTCTTCAGGGTAAGATCAGTTTTTTATATGTGCTATTTATTTCCCTTAAATGTCTAGGAACAAAAGAGTGTTAAATAAATATGTCTTTTCTTGTCCATTTTTTATTAACTAAACCACAAAATATTTTGTGAAAATTATATTAGATGCCAAAAGAAAATATTGTGGATATTTTAGAAAAATTATATTTATTTTTCAATTCAATTTACATCATTTTTAGGAGATTATTGATATAATCCATAATTTCATAAAAACAAAACTGTATAAATGTAGTGTTCTATTGGTAAACTGTGCCCACTACATACTCCAAACTTTAATTCTCATGTACCCGTACATGTGTTCTCTTGGAGATCTTCCTTTATCATCTCAAATCAAATTACTGTGGCATTTATATTTCTAGCTATGCTGTCTTTGCTACTATCCAATTCTCTTTAACTGGGTAGCATTGAATCACCTCAAAATTAGTTGGCTGGAATATACTCTTTCTCTTCTCTCAATTATCCATAGTCCTGGCAGCATCCCTAGTTTTCTTCTGGTCTTCAGGGCCCACAATCTGAACTTATCTTTGACTTCCCCAGTTCTTTGCTGCCCTCTCTCTCCATATCTTAATTGTGTTCTCCACAAAGTCTTTTGGACTTAGTCCTCCTTCTCCAGTGGGTAACATCTGTACCATAGTTCCAGTCAGGAGCTACAGATGTTGTGATGATGATGGCAGTCCTTCCTCTGGAATCTTTGTTTTCATCCTCTTGTTTCTTTAGTTTGTAAGAAGAATATATTGAAACTTGAAAGGATATAGTTTTTTTGTTTGTTTGTTTGTTTGTTTGTTTTTAAAGAGAGAGGGAAATCAAAATCTGGAAGATGAGAATTAATGGAAAGAGGCCCAAGTAGAGTAAAGAGGAAAAAGTAAAAGAAAAGAGAACAAAGTAATGATAGGTGAACTATGTCGGGGAATAATGGTAAATAAATGCGAAAAGATCAGGGGAAGGAAGCTGGGGGGTGGTATAATTTGGCAATCCATTTCTTTATGTTAGTAAAATGATACTTTTACGTATCAGTGTCTAGTTATGATTTTAAAATAGAATAAATGAATTATTTATGGAAAGAACATCAAATTCTTCAATCTGCTATTTAGAGCCCTTTCATTTTTTCTTATTTTATTTCTTATTTCTCATTTTATATTTTTTTAAATTTTTATCTTTTTAAAAATTTTTTCTTATTTTATCTCTCCAAACTAATCTTTCATTGTCATCCACTGTGGATTTCCATCTGAGGCACATTATTACTTTTTTCCTCTTTAGTAATGGTAGTAAATAAATAGTGGCCAAAATGTATAAATGTATAAAGTACTTTCACATGCATCCCTTTATTGTACCATCTCCTTCATTATCATCTGTGACCTTTCAGGATGACAATATCTTCTACATTCTGGAAATCCTATACTCTGAAACCTTCTCCTCTATGGATTTTTCTTCAAGTTAATTATTATAATATTA